AATAGAATAATGATAGGGAACTGTATTGAGAGTTCCCTTGGGATGACATGTCTGGAGGCTGCATATTTTTATTCAGCTAGACTGAACCAAGCCACGGGAGGGTGCAAAGTCAAAGCAGGACCATCTATTTCCTCTTTCTTTATGTGCTGCCCCCTTTTCCAGCGCTGGCCCTACTATTAGGTAGAATGAAATAAACCCCCTTGGGTAACAGTTCATAACAAGCAGCAAATGGGAGTCACCAAGTACCGACCTTCACTCAGACTAGTCACTAGACTAGTGGTTGTCTGCTAAATAATTTGCTGCTCCAGTAGCTGCCTTCTGTGCATTGTCCTAAATGATCCTTCAATAAATACTCTAGAAAGATGTTGGGGTATTGCCTTCTCAGGCAACTGCTTTGATCTCAGAATGCAGTACTCTAATTCCCAGCTCCATGTCGTTCTGGATGTAGCTTGAAAGAACTTGAAAAGAAACCAGTTCATGCTTTATTTCTGCTTTTAGAAAAATCCATTACAGGAGAAGTGAGTTCTAGTTGTGAAAGGCAATTTTGATTCCATCTCGTCCCCCTCCCCCCATAGTTTTATTTCTGCAGGTTTGTTTAATTTATTGCAATATATAATCATGAGGCCCTTGGACCATTGGAAATGGGTATTCCATTATGGGTAGTCGACCTCGAACATCACTACCTTTCAGTCCCTAATTACAAACAGTTTGTGTAAGGTCAACCAAGATCAGCGTGATAGTGTTTCTGAACACTAAAAATATTGCAGAGATGCTAAATAAAGCCAGAGGACTGCAAGAGATTCCATGGTATAAAAATAAATAAGCTAAATTATACATGGGAAAGGCATAGGAAATGGACTTATACTGGGTTAGGCCACCGGACTGTTTAGTCCAGCACCGTCTATGCTGACAGGCAGCAGTTTTTCGGGATTTCTGGTAGAAAAGTTTCTAGCCTAATCTGGAGATGCCAAAGGTAGAATTTGAGCCCTTTTTCATGCAAAATTTGCGTTTTGATACTAAGCTAGTAGCCATTTTTATATTTACTACAGTTATGCTGTCATAAAAGGTCTACCTAAGTAAATTATTTCCTTCTTTTCTCATTTGAAGATTCCCAGAATTTTGAGATTTTTGGTAGGTGATTTCCTTCCATGCTATAACATTGTAGATGGGGAACATGTGTCCCTCCAGATGTAGCTGAGCTACAGCTAACAGTAATCCTCAACCATGGTCACAAGGAGTTGTCATTCAGTAACATCTGAAGACTATGGGTTTTTCACCTGTTTTAACCTGTCATGAACTAAGGGGATCATATGTGTTAGTTTTACCATATCTGTGCTGCAAGAATCTGGATGACCACTAGACAGCTATAAGGAGAGATGAAAAATCACACTGGGCCATCATCATCTGGATTTTTTTAGCACAGATGTGGTAGCCAGATGTATCTTCTCACAGTCCTCTGGATAGTTGATCTTCAGATCCCATTGAACCCTATCAGAATGACTAATGGTAAAGAATTATTAGAAGATATCTAGTAAACACAATAATTTATATTCCATCTTCATCAGATGATGGAAAGAGTAACTGTATACTGCATCAAATTACTGGTTCATCTAGCATAGCATTAGCTCCACCAGCAGCAGTGGCCCAGGCTTTCTTTCCAATCTTACATGGAAATGCTGAGAATTAAACCAAGGAATTTCTCCACGAAAAATATACTGTACCATTACATCACAGTTCCTTCAAAATAAATAGTTCTTAGTCAAGCACTGAAGTTTCTCACAGTTTTTTTTACTGTACCCACAACATAATAACTTCCATCATGAAAATGCCAGCCAGGAAAAAATACAAACGTTCAACCTCTATTGCAGTATTTTGAGTAGAGATCCATTTCTATTTTCAATGCACTGTTACATACACAGCCACAGGACATTCTAAAAACAAGAATAGTAGACTCTGGTTCCCAATTCAGGTTCTGGAGAGAAATTAGCATTTGGATTATCTGTGCTACTAAATGTTTGCAAGCAGAGGTAAGGTGATCAGGCCATACCTACTGTCTTATAAGATGCAGAAGCATTTCCACCCCACTTTCTGACAAATTAGCACTGCAGGCAGGCAAGAAAGATGTGCAAGAAGATTTTATACCAAATCCTTTCAGCATGAAAATAGTAGCACCAGATGATTTTGTAATGACCTGAGTGGAAAAAAATAAAACGGAAAATCTAGGATCCAGAAGAAAGCAGCAGCTTTTAACCCATGTTCTGAGTATTTTTTGCTTGCTTTGCAGGACATCAATATAAACAGAAGAACTATTAAAGGAAAAAAATGGGGAAAAAAGGAATGTATCATTCCATGCGGAAACATCCCATGTGAACATTACCACTCAGTCAATTCCAGTTTGGTCCTGGGAAATTTCTACAATAGCTACTTCCTGAGAGCTACTTAGGATATGATCTCTCCCCTTTTTATTTGATACTACTGGTTGACAGAATGTCTCCTTTTTTAAATTGTACTATGCATCCCATCTCTTCTAGAGAATTTGTGCATATGCTGGAGCAGAACTGGAGCATGGGGCCGTAACAGAAAGGGTCATAGGACAACTCCTATTATACTTGTGAAAAGTTTGGGTAACTCCATTTAACCCCTTTGAGGCTATAGCAATAGAAAATTGCTGAGAAATGAGAATGCTCTTTGATTTCCCAGGCTCTTTGACTGACATTGACCAATAATAAATTGATGTGACCAAAAAAAAAATAATGATTTGGCAACCCCGAATAATAGGCCTTTAAATGGACACAACAGCCTTAATTCTGCATGTACACCGATAATATACACAGGACCATTTATATATGCACTATTTTTGCTTGAATAATTCTGGCAGTTGAATAAACACGTGAATGATTTCAATTAAAAAGAGTTGGCTGGATTCAGATTAATTTAGATTGCAATCCCCAATCCTGTGTCACTTGTGACACCGTCCTAAAGTTCTAGGAATTCAGAAATATCCCCTTCTGAGATTAGAAAAGGGGCTCTAACTTTGGAAAGAGAAATCCAACATTCGATTTCCTACTAGCTTTTGAGGTCAGCTCATCTCTGACATCAGGATACTTGGATCTTTGGAAGCTCCAAAGCAGAGGAAATGTTGGGCAAAAGGAAATGAAATTAACCAAAGGATCTCAAGGTTTTCTTCATCTTCCCCAGGATTCCATACATGGGAAAT